ATTTGAGCCCTTCATGCTCCAAGAGTGATTTCTCTATACGATCTATGTTTTTCGTACCTGTTAATAAAGAAGACGTTATGAAAGTAATCGACTCAATGAAAAATAAAAACTCTACCGGTCTTGATGAAATACCGGTTTCGGTCATAAAACGCTGTAAAGATGTCATTTCCCCTATTATAGCTCATATCATTAATCTATCAATCAGACAAGGCAAATTTTCCTCAAGTCTGAAAATAGCTTCAGTCATGTTACTGTACAAAAAAAATGACCCCAGTAATGTCGAAAACTATCGTCCAATTTCATTATTGAGTATTTTCTCAAAAATAATTGAAAAAGTGGTCTCTCAGAGGGTGGAAACATATCTATGTTCATTTAGCTTAATAACTAGTAATCAGCATGGTTTCAGAAGTGGTCTCTCAACTGAGACGAGCGTGGCTGAGTACACCCAACATATATAATGATGAAATGGATCGCGGTAAATATGTGGTATCAATACTATTCGATCTATCGAAGGCATTTGACACCGTCGAAAAATCTTTTGTTTCTGAAAAATTGTATCAGCTTGGCATTCGTGGTTGTATTAATGACTGGTTTCTCTCATTCCTGGAAAATCGAAAAATTATTGTGAAAATTGATGATGTCTTCTCAAATGAGTTCAATATGGAGCTAGGAACTCCTCAAGGCAGTGTTCTTGGCCCGTTGATATTTTTATTATTTATTAATGACCTTCCGAGTTATCTGACGGACGCTAAAATTCTCATGTATGCAGATGATACATGCACAATTATATCAGACAGTAATGAAACTGCACTCACTGAAAAAATTGCCAACACACTGAATCAATTTCAAGATTGGTGCTACCGAAATAGATTGATGATGAATATAAAAAAAAAACGGCGTGCATTGAATATTACTCTACGCTCAACTCACCATCAAACTGCTCTATCTCTTTAAACAATACTGTCATTGCAAAATCAAAAACGGTTGAGTTTCTGGGAACCTTATTCGACAGTAACCTTTCATGGGGAGAGCAAACCAATGCTGTATGCAAAAAAATCAACCAATGCTTTTACCTATTGACAGTCCTAAAATCCATGTTAGATAGAGATACTCTGTTGAATGTGTATTACTCATATGCATACTCCGCAATTGCGTATACAGTATCATTGTCTGGGGACAAGGACGTGAAGTTCAAAGAGTGTTCGTATTGCAAAAAAGGATAGTTCGCTTTATATTTGATTTACCTTTTCAAACTTCGTGTCGCAACATATTTAGAGACAAGAAAATTCTAACGGTGACTTCTATTTATCTATTGAAAATACTGAGCGATCGAATCCAACATAAATTAACAAAAAATAGTGATATACATAAGCATGACACGAGAAATAAAAATGACTTTTTGCTCAGAAGAGCAAATCACAATTACTATAAAAAATCACCTCTTATCGCTGGGGTTTCTTACTCCAATAGGCTTCCCAGTCACTTAAAAAACAGTCCTTCATACGAAGTTTTTAAAGGTAGGTTGAAACACTTTTTAGTAAATAATTGTTTTTATGATCTGGGGGAGTTTGACGTTTTTCTCTCCAATAATTGAAATGTTTTATACTAATTTATTTCGTCCAGTATCAGTGTATTTGTTTCTGTTTTCATTTCTTGGACAGTTACAGTTGTTATATCAGTTCTATGTTCTATGTTCTATGCTTTTTATTGTATACATGTACCGACTCGTCCAATCTATTGTATTATAGGGAAAAAGGATTTAATAAATTTGAATTTGAATTTGAATAAGTTGATTGGACCCAACCTATTTATATGAAAAAATGTACCGTTTGTCCGTGAGACGATTTCATAGTTTGCATAAAAAAAAAAACACTGTGCAAAAATTAGTGAAACAAATTGGATGAAATTTGACAAAAGTGCATGAATGAAGCCGATAGTGATTCATTGATTCAATGATATTTTCGTTTAGGATCGAGCTCTATTCGAGATATTTCAATGCATAAATAACTAAACCATAACCTGTCAGAACGAAGCCAACTACCCTCTGCATTCCTGCTCCGAGTGCATTTGTGGTTATGTATGTTTTTGTTTACCAGTTTTCCTTACTCTTCTATTTTTTCATTCGTTTTTCATTCGTCAGCTATTTGTTTGCTATTCGCTAGGTATATTCTTCACCATCAACTATTTTCAGACTAGATTCAGAATGTACATACGTCACAGTTCGCCGGCCCGAAAATTAGAAATTGCTTTGATTTGAAAATAAAAACGACTTGGACTTCATCTGTCGTCATTCTGTATAAAGCGTGGACATAAAACTGGAGAGTTCTGAACTTATTTCATGAAAATTCATCTAAAGGAAACTTCCCCATTGGTCCGTGATTTACCCCTCGGTCGCAGACTGGTATATTCTTTTTTCTACAAGCGTGCGTGATTCACCCTATACCCGCACGCAATTTAGTTTGGAAAGTGTCATTTTCCCGCAACAGTACGGGAAAATTTTCCCACACTAGTGCGGGAAATTTTTTCCCGCACTAGTGCGGGAAAACAAAGATATGATATAATCGCTAGTAATATAAGTGGTTGGTGATGGAATATAAAAGTTTAAGATTGTTTGTTGCAGTATTAAGTATGTATGTTCAGAATCATCCATCAAATTGCACTATTTATTGTAAAAATTAAGAAATATCGAGAAATAAAAATGGATTATTATAAAAATCCTCCTATAGATTTGGATTGATCTGACGGGAAACGTCAATTTGTCATAACAATCAAACTTCAAATAAGTTTGAAATTGTCGAAGTGACAGACACAGCATTACTGTCATTTTCGATACAGTGGAAATGCCACAATGTGATCAAAAACTTCTAGCTATAGGGATTTGATACAGATGCGTTAATATCACCAATGAAGTCTTAAGAAAGGTATGAGAAGCTATACACGCGTTTAATTGAATGGTGCAACAATAAAGAAATGAAAAAACCGAATGAAGAATAGGTATTTTTGGCTCATTCCATAGAAGTGTCTGAAACCTAAAGACCAAACTCCTAATGGGCCTGCTGGCTTCCGCAATGAACCAACATAATGCGTCAAACTGTAAGTTCACAATAGCTATTACTAATAATTAATAGATAGAGAATATATATCTCTTGTTAGTTGTTCCTATTTGCTTGAATAATTAATTGAACGATACAATCAATTTCCTACGCTTGTAGAAAAAATATTGGGTAATTTTTTACTTAGAGGGCATTGTCGAATTTTTTCAAAATTTTTGCCAGTACTTACGTATTTTGGGGTGTAGAATACGAATCTGAAAACCAAAAAGCTGGGAAACCAATACTTTTCGAGATATTTGCAAAACAAAATCTTTATCATCACTGTTTTGCTGTTGTTTGGCGGCTCATCACTGGCAATAGGTACTGGCATGTCTGGTGTATACGCACTCCGTGCATATGTTAATGGGAAATAAATTACCAAATTTAGGGTATTTTCTTTGAAAAATTAATGGATATTGCAAAAACTTAATACTGTTAGTTATTTTCCTAGCACCTATTCACAAAAAAATAACAACTATGACAGCTAACAGCACCAAAAAAATCAATGTCAATTGTTTGATCAACAAACAACAAAGAAAGATGATGGCAATGTTGCCATAGCTCGTCCGTTTAACGCTTATTTTCTTTCTAGACGATTCTCAGAAATAAACATGAAATAAATTAAGTTAAATTAATTTAAATTTAATTTCTATACATAGTTTTAGTGTGATTAAAAAAATTGAAAATTCTTTCATTGAATGGAATAGAAAACAATATAGGGAGGGTATTCCAACCATATTCTTTCCAATGTGTGTTTGAAAAATGAGATCTACTTAACCCGAACAAACTAACCTAACTATAGAGCTCGGATTACGATAGACGTTGCGGTTACGATAGACGCTGCGGTTACGATAAACGCTGCGGTTGCGATAAACGCTGCGGTTCCGATAGACGCTGCGGTTACGTTATCCGAGCTCTATAGTAACCGCGGTTCTATCGTAACCGCAACGTCTATCGTAATCCGAGCTCTATAGTTAGGTTAGTTTGTTCGGGTTAAGTAGATCTCATTTTTCAAACACACATTGGAAAGAATATGGTTGGAATACCCTCCCTATATTGTTTTCTATTCCTATTACGGGAAAAAACAAGATCTGGCAACATTGCTTGTTATTGTCTGTCAATTTATCATGTCTGTCAAGTGTCACGTTCACGTTTGATGCATCTTTTAATCATAAAAAAACACATACATAAAATTAACAAGGTAAATAGCAAATGAAATGCTTTCATTGTTAAAATACCCAAATAAAATGAATTGAGAAATACATAATTCATCAATCAACAACGAAAGAAAGAAGATAGAGAATTATACCGCTTGAGGAATGTTGCTAAAAGACGCTGAAAAATGATGAACAAAATGACTTATTTTGCAAATATCTCGAAAAGTATTGGTTTCCCAGCTTTTTGGTTTTCAGATTCGTATTCTACACCCCAAAATACGTAAGTACTGGCAAAAATTTTGAAAAAATTCGACAATGCCCTCTAAGTAAAAAATTACCAAAATATTGTTCCTAACTCATGCGGAAAGTGTCTTTCCCGCACTCGACTGCTTGCCCGAACTCCGCTTCGCGTCGTTCGTGTCAACGGCAGTCGCGTGCGGGAAAGAATCACTTTCCGCACTTGTTAGGAAAATTACTATTAACTGTGGTTCAGTGCGAGAAAAACAGGGGCGTCGCGTTGTTAAAATACTCCCGATAACAATCCGTACAGTTGATCGACGGCGGTCGACAGATTTTCTTCGGGCGCCTCATGATTCATGAATAAAAACGATACCATTACACGCGATCAGAATCCCAGAAAACTGGTTAGGCGTAATAGAAAAGAATAAGAAGAAGCAGCAGCAACTGAGAGGAGGAATGAACTTGCATGTTGGCTGTAATTATCGTGCATTATTTTTATAAGATAATGACGTTAAACTTCAGGGTCTTGGGATATTTTCAACCACGTCGGAATGCCAGCTACATCACCTAAGTACGCGTCACCATCACCTTCATTGCTAGAAGAATCACCTTGAGATTCTCAGTTTCATTCTCTCATTTCTTCGGCCAAAATTTCATGCTAATTTATCATTGCATCACTGATTTTAACATATTTATGATTATGCTATCTCAACGGATAGCTGGCAACAGTGTCGAGTTTTGATTCTCGTCCTGCATTCTTTTCAAAGATGACAGCAGCATCGGCAGAAGAATAGCTTCCTGTTCCGTTCATGTTCCTCTGATGTCAACAAAACTTGGTTATCACTTCTTGGGTACAGATGAAAGTTTACAACGTATTATTATACTGGACAAATATAAGCTTTTTTTCAATAAAATTTTCTGGAAATGTTTTTCATATTTTTCACTATTGACCTTGAAACGAACTTTCTGTTATTACGAGTATAAATTGTGACCAATCAGAATCCGAAGCGCTATAAGCCGAAATGCGAAAAGCTGTCATATGTTCAGCGGAAAAATGAATAATGAAGCGCGGACTTTTCACATTCACCATTTTCTTGTTATACTGGACAAATAAAAGCTTTTTTTCTATATAATGTTCTGAATGTTTGTTAAACATTTTTCGCTAATTGACCTTGAAACGAACTTTCTGTTATTACGAGTATAAATTGTGACAAATCAGAATCGGAAGCGCTATAAGCCGAAATGTGAAAATCTGTCATCTGTATAAAGCATTTGGGACTGAACATGGAATTCAAATAGTTGTATAAAATATAAAATGTTGTATTTCGTGCAAAATTATTTACTCAAATTGTTCGTAGAAGAGCGCTTTCGTGCATACTAAAGAAGCTAGCAAAGCCACTTTCGATTTTCAACATGAGACACATCTCATAATTTTAGGCTCATTTTAGGCTAATTTATTACCCCATTCCAGAATTTTTTGCTCCTCCCTATTATAGAAAAATCTGCGGCTTTGCTAGCTTCGGCCGAACTCAGCAAAGCCATTTTTGAAAATCAATATTTTTTTAATATCTGATATAGTGAGAATGTTGTGCTCATTTTAGGCTAATTTATTACCCTATTCCCAATTTTCTTGCTCCTCTCTATCATAGAAAAATCTGTGGCTTTGCTAGCTTCGGCCGAACTCAGCAGAGCCATTTTTGAAAACATAGAATTTCCACCGATTTGATATATTGAGATCAAATGGCTAATTTTAGGCTAATTAATTACCCTATTTTCGAATTTTTTGCTCCACGTTTCAAACAGAAAAAATACAAGACAATTTGTCGAAATACGCGTCATTCACTGTACATTATGTATTTCTATCAAAAGCATATTTTATGACGATTTCATGAGGGAAAGTGTTAGTATCGATTGTAAGCTTGATGACCATCCCATTTTGGAATTTTTGGCTACATATTTTTTAAAAGAAACCTGTGGCTTTGCTGGCTTCGGGCGAACTCAGCAGAGCCATTTTTTAAAATAATATATTTTTCACTGATTTGATATATCCATATTAAAGAGCTAATTTAAGGCTAATTGATTACCCTATTTTTAAATTTTTTGCTCGATGTTTCAAGCAGAAAAAAACCGAAACGATTCGTCGAAATACACGTTTATTCACTATACATTATGCATATCTATCAAAAGCATATTTTATGACGATTTTTCAAGACAAAGTGTTAGTATCGATTATAAGCTCAATAACTATTGCATTTTGAAATTTTTTGCTGCATATTTTTTAAAACAAACCTGTGGCTTTGCTGGCTTCGGGCGAACTCAGCAGAGCCATTTTCAAAAATAATATATTTTTCACAGATTTGATATATCGCTTTCGAGAAGCTAATTTTAGGCTAATTAATTACCCTATTTTCGAATTTTTTGCTCAACGTTTCAAACAGTAAAAATACAAGACAATTCGTTGAAATACGCATTTATTCACTATACATTATGCATATCTATCAAAAGCATATTTTATGACGATTTTTCAAGACAAAGTGTTAGTATCGATTATAAGCTCAATAACTATTGCATTTTGAAATTTTTTGCTGCATATTTTTTGAAACAAACCTGTGGCTTTGCTGGCTTCGGGCGAACTCAGCAGAGCCATTTTTGAAAATAATATATTTTTCACAGATTTGATATATCGATTTCGAGAAGCTAATTTTAGGCTAATTAATTACCCTATTTTCGAATTTTTTGCTAAACGTTTCAAACAGTAAAAATACAAGACAATTCGTTGAAATACGCATTTATTCACTATACATTATGCATATCTATCAAAAGCATATTTTATGACGATTTTTCAAGACAAAGTGTTAGTATCGATTATAAGCTCAATAACTATTGCATTTTGAAATTTTTTGCTGCATATTTTTTAAAACAAACCTGTGGCTTTGCTGGCTTCGGGCGAACTCAGCAGAGCCATTTTTGAAAATAATATATTTTTCACAGATTTGATATATCGATTTCGAGAAGCTAATTTTAGGCTAATTAATCACCCTATTTTCGAATTTTTTGCTAAACGTTTCAAACAGTAAAAATACAAGACAATTCGTTGAAATACGCATTTATTCACTATACATTATGCATATCTATCAAAAGCATATTTTATGACGATTTTCCAAGACAAAGTGTTAGTATCGATTATAAGCTCAATAACTATTGCATTTTGAAATTTTTTGCTGCATATTTTTTGAAACAAACCTGTGGCTTTGCTGGCTTCGGGCGAACTCAGCAGAGCCATTTTTGAAAATAATATATTTTTCACAGATTTGATATATCGATTTCGAGAAGCTAATTTTAGGCTAATTAATTACCCTATTTTCGAATTTTTTGCTAAACGTTTCAAACAGTAAAAATACAAGACAATTCGTTGAAATACGCATTTATTCACTATACATTATGCATATCTATCAAAAGCATATTTTATGACGATTTTTCAAGACAAAGTGTTAGTATCGATTATAAGCTCAATAACTATTGCATTTTGAAATTTTTTGCTGCATATTTTTTAAAACAAACCTGTGGCTTTGCTGGCTTCGGGCGAACTCAGCAGAGCCATTTTTGAAAATAATATATTTTTCACAGATTTGATATATCGATTTCGAGAAGCTAATTTTAGGCTAATTAATCACCCTATTTTCGAATTTTTTGCTAAACGTTTCAAACAGTAAAAATACAAGACAATTCGTTGAAATACGCATTTATTCACTATACATTATGCATATCTATCAAAAGCATATTTTATGACGATTTTCCAAGACAAAGTGTTAGTATCGATTATAAGCTCAATAACTATTGCATTTTGAAATTTTTTGCTGCATATTTTTTAAAACAAACCTGTGGCTTTGCTGGCTTCGGGCGAACTTCGAATTCTTTACTCAACGTTTCAAACAGAAAAAATACAAGACAATTTGTCGAAATACGCATTTATTCACTATACATTATGCATATCTATCAAAAGCATATTTTATGACCATCTCTCAAGACAAAGTGTGAGTATTGATTATAAGCTCAATAACTATCGCATTTTGGAATTTTTTGCTGCATATTTTTTAAAACAAACCTGTGGCTTTGCTGGCTTTGGGCGAACTCAGCAGAGCCATTTTTAAAAATATTATATTTTTCACCGATTTGATATATAGGTATTGGAAGGCTAATTTTAGGCTAATTAATTACCCTTTTTTCGAATTTTCTGTTCAACGTTTCGAACAAAAAAAAACACGAAAAGATTCGTCGATATATGCGTTATTCACTATACATCATGGATTTCTATCAAAAGCATAATTATTTTATGACGATTTCATGAAGCAAAGTGTTAGTAATTATTGAAGAAACCTGTGGCTTTGCTGGCTCCGAGCGAACTCAGTAGAGCCATTTTTGAAAATGATATATTTTTCACAAAAACGATTCGTTGAAATTATTCACTATACATCATGCATTTCTATCAGACGCATATTTTATGATGATTTTTCAAGACAAAATGTCAAAATGTTAGTATTGATTGTAGGCTCAATAACTATCCCATTTTGAAATTGTTTTCTGCATATTTTTCGAAAGAGACCTGTGGCCTCGCCTGTGGCTTTGCTAGCTTCAAGCGAACTCAGCATATACTAAAGAAGCCAGCAAAGCGACAGGTTTGTTTAAAAAAATAAGTAGCAAAAAATTCCAAAATGGGATAGTTATCAAGCTTACAATCATTACCAACATTTTGTCTTGGAAAATCGTCATAAAATATGCTCTTCATAGAAATACATAATGTACAGTGAATGACGCGTAGTTCGATACACTGTCTTGTATTTTTTTTCAAACGTTGAGCAAAAAATTCGAAAATAGGGTAATTAATTAGCCTAAAATTAGTCATTTAATCTCCATATATCAAATCGGTGAAAAATCAATGTTTTCAAAAATGGCTCTGCTGAGTTCAAGCAAAGCCACAGGTTTGTTTCAACACTTTCGCTGCTGGTCAACTACAATGACTGGCGTCCCACGCCGATCTTAATATATAGCTTAAAAGCAAGAGTAGTCTAAATCGCGCTTGCGCGAAAAATTTCAAAATTTAATAATTATTGAGCTTATAATCAATACGAACACTATATTATGTCTTGAAAAATCGTCGGAAAAAATGCTTTTGATAGATATGCATAATGTATAGTGAATAAACGCGTATTTCGACAAATTGTCTTGTATTTTTTCTGTTTGAAACGTTGAGTAAAAAATTCGAAAATAGGGTAATTAATTAGCCTAAAATTAGCTCTTCGGAATCGATATATCAAATCTGTGAAAAATATATTATTTTTAAAAATGGCTCTGCTGAGTTCGCCCGAAGCCAGCAAAGCCACAGGTTTCTTTTAAAAAATATGCAGCAAAAAATTTCAAAATGCAATAGTTATTGAGCTTATAATCGATACTAACACTTTGTCTTGAAAAATCGTCATAAAATATGCTTTTGATAGATATGCATAATGTATAGTGAATAAACGTGTATTTCGACGAATCGTTTCGGTTTTTTTCTGCTTGAAACATCGAGCAAAAAATTTAAAAATAGGGTAATCAA